TACTGGAATAGTATATGCAAGGGAGGTGATTAGTGAATTACCATGTGTATGCATCCATCTTGCAACATAGTGCTGCACCTCATGTGTTCTCTGTTTCCAAAGTTCCTTGTTTATCTTTTGTTGCTTCAAGGCTTCAGCTTGTGTTGATTTAGGATCAATTGGCCTAGTCCACTTATCAATGGGACCTAACTTGTGAGGCTCTGAGCTGCCAAGACAGGATCCTTCTTTCTCTCCTTCTCCTGAAACTCGAGAAACATGCGCTTCTTCTCTAAGATTGAGCTCACGAATAGCCTTTTCTTTTCTCTTATTTGCCGTTGCATCTAGTGCTTTCTTACACTTTGCTTTTATCTTCTTTTGTGCTCTTTTCACATTTAGCCACAGAATTCCCAACACCTGCTATGTGTTGCTTCATATGAAAAACCCCCCCTATGCTCACATGTTTACATAGCTTGCACTTCAACTTGTTAAGATCGGTAGGATCACATAGATACCCATATTCCCATCCTACATCATCTGACTTCCTCTTGAGAGACAAAGTTTCTCTCTCTCTTGGTGGGGTTCTCCTCTCACGCTTGTGTTCCAACCAACCTCCATCCTATAATTACTTAATTAGTATTCTATTAATCTAGACAAGGACAAGAAGCAAAGGAATTAGGCATAGACTAACTAATCACTAATCTGTAGTGATGCACAACACAACAAGAAATGTAAAAGCACAAAACAAACACAAGAAATCTGTATTCTACTAATATGTACAACAAAAGCAGGGAAGGAATTAGGCATAAACTAATCTAGCAATCCAAGACTGCACACATCGCACACCTATATGGGCTGGAGCCTAGCAAGAGTGGCGATGTAGCACACATTAGGACTCAAAGGAGGGGGAGGGAGGAGAAGGGAAAGGAGAACCAGAGTGGAGAAGCGGAGAAGAGAGATGAGAGAGGAGAGCAGTGAAAGAAGTCAAGCAGAGGCAGAGGAGCTCACCTTGCCGAGCGTGGGGAAGAGAATCGAGAGGGCGACACGGAGATGGGGGTGGCTCGAGCTCGACCTTTGGGGAAGAGACGTCGGACTTGGGGAAGAGACCGACGAGCTCGACCTCCTCCAGCGGCGGCTCGAATCAGCATTTGGCGGGCGTCGAGCGTCGGCTGGCGTCCCGCGTCGATCGGCGGGCGGCGGCGGGAAGTCTCTTCTGCTTTTATCCCCTCCTCTCCCGCGCCCCAAATCGGGTTCTACACGGCGCGCGCCCGATTGGAACTTCCGGACGGCGCGCGCATCCATCTCCCGCGCTGCCTTTCCTGCCCGGTCATTGGCTCATTGGCGGCATTGAGTAAAACCTGTGGCGCCTTTCTCCGCTCTCGTGCCTCGAGCGCGTCGCATCCATTGAAGCGCTTGGGCGCCGCTTATGGCCCGAAGCAGCAGCCTCAGCAGAGAGCTTGGCGCTCTTAAGCAGCCGCTTAATACCGCTTTTTGGAACTTTGCCTAGCTCGCGATGCTGAAATCCGCCCGGCGCGTTTCCTCCGTCGGTTCGAGAGCGTGAGAAAGGAGAAAGCTTCTGAGGGGCATTGTCGCCTTTTGGTCTAGGTGTATTTTCTATTTTTCTTTTCTTTTTGCCATTTAATCTCACCAGTACAAATGGTGTTATAAAGTAAGGGCAAACGGTTGCTTCATTTGAAAATAACAAGGGTAAAATCACAAAGTTAAAAAAGAAAGGGTAAAATTACCATTGAGGTTTGAAGTAAGGACAAAAACACCAAATTCCCTTAATGAATTTGGTCACAACTCACAAGGACTATAACAGAAGGGGTCGATTTTTAGCTCCAAATCAAATACCCCTCCTCCATGTTTCTGAATTTCATGCTTCTAAAGAAATTCAGACACAAGGACTCACAAGAACCAGCACAACTCACAACTCACCGTAATACCCCCTCCTCCATGTTGTTGATACTAGGATCACAAGGACAATGGTTTCTTAGCAGTGCTGGTTCTTGATTCGTAGTAGCAGTTCTTGAGTTCATCTACCAAATAATTGACGATAATCGATAAGAGCAGATACTGATGGTAGATTATTTGTTTTTTAGCTTTGTTCAACAAATTAGGTAGGAAGAAATTGATGGTTTGTGTGGCCTTTATACGCATTATTTACCTCTCATTAGTTACTATTTACTTCTTAATAAAAGAGCTAGTGCTATTAGATATTGTATAAATATACATAGATATGGTCGAACTGAACACCTGCTGATTGGATAAATTAATGTAAATAAACTACTTCTACTAGTCTACCATTAGCTTTTGGCTGTGATATGTTGGCTTGTGTCTTATTGACATGGTGCTTCTATGATGGCCATCATTGGATTTTGACTGGTGCCATATATTGGCGATGTATTAGCAATTGTTATCTGTCTCATAGGTTCTGCTATATATATCTTAGCAAGTAGAAGTTCAGCATTTGACTTGTATCTGCTTTGCATGGCCTTTCAGTCAGAAATCTCGCTCCTCGATTGTATAGGAGGTGAAAGGATCTGCTAACTAATGAGCATCACATCTGCTTCATGTTCACTGTTAATCCATGCCGGCCTTATTAGCACACAGTGTGTGTTTAAAT